TTCATGTGGTGTCCTTAATACCGAAAACTCGATTGACAGCAAAACGTCTGTAGGTCCGTCCTTCCGTCCGTCCTTCCGTCCTTCTGTGGTCTACGCTGTACCGTTCAGACGATTGATACTTCTGCCCAAAATTGATATTTCTCGATCGACCTGAACGAACTCGAGGCCCTGCGAGTTTGAAATGAATATTATGATTGAGGGGGGGTACTTATCATGAATTCTCAACAGTTTTCAAAAATGACTACAAAGTTTCTCAAAAATGATTCCAATTTTTTTTATTGCATTGTGTTCTCAAATATAGTAAAAAATTCTTTATAATGACTTGGGTCTCATTTTCAGTCATTTTTGATTTTTCGAAATTTGCAAAAGTTTAAATATTTTATCGGTATGTTCCTAATCATTCTTTATCTGCACTCTAATTTCGAAAATTGAAGAAAAATTAACATCGCATAATTACAATATCCAATGTAGAGGTTTTTGTCTTTAACAAAATCTGTTCTAAAAGATTGGATTTTTAAATAAAATCATGTACACTTTTTGGAAAAAGAGTGGTTTTTACGTAATTTCTGCTTGAAATTATTGCAATTTATGAAAGAATATAAAAAACGGCTCCAATTTTTTTCTTTAAATCACGGTTAGAGCTAAGAATACGGCGGTACGCTAAGAATACGGCGAAGGTCTCATTTTTGTTAAATTCTATAAATTTTCGAAAATAGTAAATGTTGAAATAATTGCGAAAAAGTATGTTTTGATGAAGCACCACTAGTTCAAATTATTAGTACGTTCCCTTGAACATTACGCTAGAATCGCAATCCACGTTCATCACTCTTCTGTTGTATATTTTTAAATATTTCTATGGATACAACTGATTAAAATTGTTATTTAAATTAATTTGCTTTAATGTTTCTCATAACAGTGAACACAATATTGACGTGTCTGTTTGGTGATACAATTTAACCACTGTCCTAAAGAACAATACCCCAATAGTTCTGTCGAATTATATACAGTTTGATACATCCGCATGACGACAGTTTTACCCGCCCTCTGAGTCGTTTTTCCCAAAGTACTTTTGCTCGCGCCATATTTCACACTGAAGATTTTGCAACAGGTTCTGACCGTCAATATGTGACTTCACATACTAGTTCTTTTACTCTAGCCTGCAGCTTTGAAGTTTATTCATTTCATATGTAGGAAGCAGTAGGGAAATAAAACTCCTGCAATTAAATCACCGCTTCCTTGAAATTGAACTTTGCAGTGCATTGAACTAGTGAACCATTAATCAATGAAACTGTTTATTACGTATTGTTCAATATATATGCCACATTGATAATGTTGGGCGGTGAAAACGCTGTTTCGAAAGAGGATGAATTCGTAAGATTCAGAATATACCGCGCGTAACATTGATAGGATGTGAGGTCCAGGCTGTTTGATGACTGTTCTTTTGAAATTAGCGAACTCGCGGCTGCGTTAGATGTCACGTGGATTTTACCCAAAGCTTCCACTTTCTTTTTGTCTGTTTCAAAGAAGGGGGAAAAGTAGCGGTCGTAAACGCGGAAAAAGTTGTTCATTGCCGGACTAATCCTCTTTGAGCGAGGCGCAGGAACGCTCATGTCAGAAATACCCGAGCTTCATTTCGGCGCGGCCCTCACTTCTCCACAGAGATTTTCATCTTTGCGGCGAGTCGGAACGCTTCTGAGAGCAGTTATTTATCGCTTTTACGTTCGCGCATTCCACTTGAGGAACGCGGAATATGAATGCCTGTTAAAATTAAAGCAGCCCTCCCCTTAAGACAGTGCGTGGATGATCTATTTGTTGAAAAAAATCCGATGGCAGAGGGCGCCATTAAGTGGCAGGTGTTGGGCAAAGGGACGCCGCAAATACGTAGCACGCGCTCGGAGGAGCGGAGAAGGATTCAGCGGTGTTTCCTTGGGCTCGCTTTTTTTATCTTGTGGTGACGTCTGTCGACATCCACTGGTTTCCGTGATAAATCTGAACGATTGTTTACAAAGCCGACACCAACGACACCTTTTTGTGTAAAATTATATTTTTATCTCACGCTGATTTTAAAATGTTATCTAGTTTCTTCGCAGATTATAATACAGTTAGTTTATATACAGTTTTACTAGGCTTATTTTCCACTGACGTTTTAATTATTTTAGGCATTTTTTTTCTCTCATGTACTCTACACCTGTCACTGCCACTTCTATTTGATGATTCCAGACGATTAGACAATTGTTTTTAGTAACTATTATTCTTCTAAAAATGCACGTGTTAGTTTTGCATTTAAAATTTAATTTTCAATGATTTGCACAATTTTTGGTCAGTTTGATCATAATAAAGGTATGAGCGGGGGGTAGTGAATCTATATAGGATAATGAAAATGAACATCAATGTAAGAGATGTACTGACACTCCTCATTGACACACCGATTTTAAAGACATCAGGTGTGTCTAAACGACTGTTTGTCGACATGTTGTTTATGAGTAAGAAATATGACAAAAAATCTAATTTTCCGTAAGAGAGATTTTATCCTAAATAGGACCTTTTATTTCGCGCCCAAAGACAAGGTAAAACTTATCCTTCAACTGTCTTGTGTATTATTGTTTTTACCAATTTCCTAATAGGGATAATTATTTTATAAACTTAGATTTTCACTTAAATAAAAACTGACGATTTATCAGATGTCACTTTTCTCCTGCAGAGGCGATTATTCCTTCAACGTTATTTTTACCAGAAACAACTTACAGCGATCTGAGTTTGTCAAGACTGTCATGTTATAAGAACGTCTATTGTATCCTATTTCTAACTTAAGTAAAAAAAGAAGCAGAATCACCCTCAAGTTGTAAATGTCCTAGAGCATAGGCAGGCTCGCACATATCTTCTTCTGTGAGCGATGGGAAACGACGTTTCCGACGCGACCTGAGCACTGGGAGAGAATATATTACTCCAGAGAATAAAGAAAACGAAGCTCAATCTCTGCTCTTTCCACCGCAGACGACTGCTGCGAAGGACGTCAACGACAGCAGTGTTTGGGCGTCCTGTGGGCGGTGGCTGCCATCTCGAACAAACTTCTGCTAACTTTCCTGAATGTCAAGATGCGGCCTTCTGATGGAAATGCGATTCAAAGACAGCAATGCTGAGAACGATTTCAGTTTGTGATGTAAAAACTCATTCTTTAGCCCTTTACTTTTGAAGTGGTGTATTGAAATTTCTTCGAAGCTCCCAGTTTCTGTGTTTGAGTTTGGCACAACTGAGGGTGGTTTCCGAGTCTCGTAAAATGTCAGGAGAAGAACGCTTGGCCTTCTCATATTAGAGTAAATTTTTTGGATGTTTATTCATCCAACTTATGTTGTTAAGGATGTTATCTCGTTGGTTGAAATAGAGATAAAAAACTCGCAATAGAATTTTTATTGCATGTTTTGGATCATCCATTTCCTTACCTCATAAATGCCTCTTCTTTGATATCGTTCCATTCACATGCTGAAACATAAATTGTAAGTTAAAATGGAGAGTTTGGATACGATACAAAATTAATCATCAGCTACATTTCATTGAAATGAGTGAAATGATTCATTGAAATGAGTGATGATTGATTGATTGAATGGATGAATGAATGGATGAATGGATGGATGAATGAATGAATGGACGAATGGATGAATGGATGGATGAATCGATGAATGAATGGATGGATGAATGGATGGATGAATGGATGGATGAATGGATGGATGAATGGATGAATGAATGAATGGATGAATGGATGAATGAATGGATGAATGAATGGATGAATGAATGAATGGATGAATGAATGAATGGATGAATGAATGAATGGATGAATGAATGAATGGATGGATGAATGAATGGATGAATGAATGGATGAATGAATGAATGGATGAATGAATGGATGATGAATGGATGAATGAATGGATGGATGGATGAATGAATGAATGGATGAATGAGTGAATGGATGAATGAATGAATGGATGAATGAGTGAATGGATGAATGAATGAATGGATGAATGGATGAATGGATGAATGAATGAATGAATGAATGAATGGATAATGGATGGATGGATGAATGGATGGATGAATGAATGGATGAATGAATGGATGAATGAATGGATGGATGAATGAATGGATGGATGAATGAATGGATGAATGAATGGATGGATGAATGAATGAATGAATGGATGAATGGATGGATGAATGAATGGATGAATGGATGGATGATGAATGATGAATGGATGAATGATGAATGGATGAATGATGAATGGATGAATGATGAATGGATGAATGATGAATGATGAATGATGAATGAATGAATGAACATTTCATTACCAAAGTATAACACAAGCGATTCGTCTGGGGAATATTCACGTTTAGCAGAGTTTGTGTCTTTATTCAGCATGGCGATTGAAATAAATAGTATCTTCAGAATTAACAATGATAATTTTTAGAATAAAATTTGTATAATTTGAGTTTTTTGTATTACTAACAGTTTCTCCATTTGACAGAATATTTTGATTCCTAGAAACATGTGTATCATTAATCCTCTAATAAACTTTTCGCAATCGGCATTGGGCGGTAACCCAGTGTTTTGTTAGAAATAGTGAAGAATATAAAACGCAAGTAAATGTTTTTAAAACATGAAGGATGAAATTAAAATTGTCCAAAAGTTGCAAAAAACAACTTGCTCAGTATTAATACTTTCCCCCCGTGTAATTTGATATCTACAAATAAAGAGAATAAAGATTTGCCATAACGTCGAATATTGTACCTGTAGTAATTCCTATAATAGTTTCTTATAATATTAATTTTCTAAAATTATATATTATAGGTACTGCAAGAGCATGAATATAAACTAGTAATAAACTTATAACGTTGCTATAAAGTAGCTGTTAATACTCTCCAACATTGGAATATTTTCATTCACACCTTTAATAATGGTTCCCTACAATTGATTGCAGGAAACAATTATTGTTGTACTATATATTGATATATAGATGGTATTTTGGCATATTTATACACTGTCCCTTAGTAGTGAAATATTTCTGGGTTCAAGTAGCCATAAAGATGAACGCAAAAACTTAAAATGCTTCGGTCGAAGTCGTGACCCAACGGTCTTATGCGCAGAAATCCAGGCCTTCAATTTCACTCAACTCCCACGAATTTCGGTGATTTCAGGATATGGAACCCGTAAAATACACGGCGACAGCGAATGCGACGTCACGATTTACGGATTAACAAACCAGTGTGTGCGAGAAACGTCTCCTGGAAAAGCTGGCGAAGAGCTCGTAAGTCGGAAATGTTTGCGCTGTTAGGTTTACTTCTTCAGAGCGGCTTAAATCGTGGCGCGACATGTTTCTTTATGGACATGTTTTATTTCACTTTTGTATACAAAATGATGACTCGTAAAGCCAAGTATTTACAGTTTGTCTCTCAAATTATACCATTGTATTATTATTTTTTATTATTATTAATATTATTATTAATATTACTAATATTGATATTATTATTATTATTATTATTATTATTATTATTATTATTATTATTGTTTTTCTTGCGAATAGGTCGACATGGACCACGCGCGCATGTACACTGTATTTACCGGGGCTCAGTAACATTATCTCGATGGAAGGTGCATGTAACTTTAGCTGGGGATAAACATTTAGCTGAATCCGATTTTTATCCCTCAGGGTTGTTAGCCTTGTGGGAATGGATGATGAAATTATGATGATAATGAGGGGTGAAAGGGCGACCCACACACCCACCCACACACAAACACACAAATACACCCTTGCCCGACGCGGGACTCGAACTCGTGATCTTCTGGTCCGATACCGTTGCGCCACTAGCTATCTCGGTCATCTGATTGGCCATTATTATTATTATTATTATTATTATTATTATTATTATTATTATTATTATTATTATTATTGAAGAGTGTAGTTAACGGGATTGGTCGGAGTATAAACAATTAGTTTGCCAAAGTTTGGGAATCTCGTAATTTCCTCATCGGGGCTTACTAATAATATATTTTAGTCACTCAGCAACATGTTAATCGACCCAACTCCACAAGGAGTTGCTGCCGCGCAGGGGTCCACCCCGTTCCACTTCTGAATCGGGACATGGCACCAAAGCATATATTTTAGTATACATCGTAAGGTGCCATAGCATTAGCTTTTGTGCCTTGCTATGTATACTAAAGCAAATGCATATTTTTGTTAAAATATAATATTGCAAAAAAAATTAAACATGAGAGTGTTTTATTTGTTGTTCTTCAGCAGTCTAATGTGTGTTGACTTTGGAAAAGCCTTTTGAATGGTCTGTCCAGTGACCCGGTGACAACACCTGCGCCTAATCCGTACAGTTTTTTCGAATATGAATTTTATCCGATCGATCTGCCTCAACATAACGTCGTGGGAATTTGAAAAGAATTTTCTATTTTTCTTAATATTTTATGACTCGATACAACATTTTCAAAATTTTCTCGAACACTGTTTCCATGCTAGCGGTGGTTGAACACCATCACCACCGGATTAAAACATGTATAAAGTCAGGCAACAAATTACCATTGTCGTTTACGCATCCAAAAACACAAAATGCTCGCTAACTCAAACATGCTTGTAAATTAATTATCGGAAATGTTCATACGAAAAGAGACATTACTTCTGTATGATATTCTGAAATCTGCAGTGTTATCAAACTATTGTGATGCCAAAAATATACAACATGAAGAAAAGTGCATGTTATATCATAAACCCAATAAATAAAATGCCAGTAGATTGTTGTCCATATGTGCTGAAAGTAAAGTCAAGCTGCCTTATGACGTTGAAACGGTGGCAGCATTATCGGAATTAGTTAGGAGAAAAGATTTTTGCGAGAAATTCATAGTATACAAGATGTCCGGAAGCTCCCCAAAATAACCCAGATTCTGTGTTGAATATGGAGAGGAATGTCAACTTACGTTTTTTGAAAAAAAAATTGTCTTCGAAAAAATTGACTTTAAATTTTACTTCCGTGCGCGAAATTCAAACCGACTGCCGCGTCACAACTGGCACACTGACTGCAAACGGATCTGGTAGTTATGTCGTTTTTCCGCGTTTTCGTTGAAACTGGCGAGTGAGGAAAATATCACTTGCCGCACACTAAGAGTTCTTTAATAATACCAAGTATTTTATGAATATTATTCCTTTAATCTATTAAATCTACTTAAAATGCTTTTTTATCTATCCATTTTTTTATAATAACCACGGTATGCAGCGGTGTCACAATGAATGCTGGACACGAACCAAGCCACATGGAAATTACAAAATTCCTGAAATGCTCAAATCATGGTAATATATCTTCAGTGTTAACTTCCGTCTAGTGATAGAGAGAGCCACAGATGATTAATGATCATACCCTGCAGTATCAATCCTTAATATCATCACACATGCTAACAGCACTTGGAAGATAAATTGCCTTCTCTTTAAAATATTGTGTTTATTGATTATTTCTAGGACTGTAAATCATGTTCATTGTTTTTGATACAATTAGTAGGTTTTGCGTAATATTTGCTTGAAATAAAAGGAATTTATAATTTTCAAAACAGTTTCCAACCTTTTTTTTAATCTTTTCTTTCGGATGCAGCAAAGCACGCTTCAAAAAACAGGGCTGATCTGTTTTTTCTTGAATTATCAGAAATGGTGAAAATTGAAAAGTTACAAATAGTGCGAGAAAGTATGTGCTGTTTAAGTTGTTTTATTTTTTAACGCGATAGCTGTATTGTTTTTAGAATATTTAGGTCATTTAGAATATTATAAGTTTTTTTAAGTGATTTGTAATGTTTCAAAGAATCTGGCAAAATATCTTAACAGGTTTAGTATGAAAAACAAATAGAAATTTAAAACCAAAACTATTTCTGATCACACGAGCTAATGTAATTTTCAGAGCTAACTTCCAATGCAGTTGAATGCAAAAGGATTTTTTTTGTTTACAGGTCCCTTAGAGCAATAATGAAATTCGTCTCTTTTATTAAATAAGGATGACATGTGTCTTCCTTCTTATGTTGAAGAAGCGGAAAACACATACTTTTTATTTGTAGCAAAGTGTTACCGTAATATAACAGATCACGTAATCCAGGACGTTTCAGCATCGTATTAGAAAATACTGCATTGCTTATTTCGGTGTTCGTTAAGGCGGTCTTCATTATTGCAACGAAAAGCGGATGTAGAAGAGGTTTTGTGGACCTGCATTAAAATATGTAAAGACTTTTTGCGGTACGTCCAGGAAATGTGAAATTTTAAATTATTTCTTCCGCCCGCACTCGGTATCAAAAAGCACGTCCACTACGTAAAGGTGGAATTTTTAATTAAATTTATCACAACAAGGAAAGTTTTTTTTTCTCTATTTCTAGTTTTTTTCGTATTTTTCCCCACCAATATTTATAAAGCAAAACATTGTTTACTGGAAGATCTTTTATCGTTGCTTGGATTTAGCATAACTAAGTTCATGATTTTGTTCAAGTTTTTAATTGAAAATAAACACACAAGAAAAATAATATATCATTAGTAGTAATCTCTAGCGGCAAAACCTGCTAATAAAAGATTCAGCGCCATTTTAGAAAGTATTATAAATCCGTTGTAATTTAAAAAAATTGTGAATATAAATTAAATCTACTTTTGAGAGAGCTCTCACTGCTACCAGAGTCAGATAAATAGTTTGTCCGTTTATTGTGCATGTGAAAAATATTTTCTCCTATGTTATTAAAGTTCTTAACTTTATAGCTTACGTACATAGAAAATGCTTTTTCATTGTTATCACTTCGTTTTGTATTAACTGAAAATTATGAGGAAATTTCAAATCTTCCTATATTGAATGCAGAATTACAAAAGACACTAGACATGGCATGTCTAAGTAGGATGTGCCATTAATCTTCACCAAAAATTATTATTATTTCACTCGTTGGATCATTATTGAACTCGGTATTTCCATTTCACATTATCTGTCATTAAATGATGTGTAGTCATGTACTGAATTTGGGGTCGTTGATACTTCATCAAGGACTGTGTTGCGTTCTTCTCGTAAATGCTCAGCGCCTGCAGAGCTAGTGGACAGAGCTTTCTTGCTAAATCAACCACGTATGATAAAACCCATTACACAGAAAAACTAACCATTGAATTACACTTCGCTTAATTACTGACTATTAATGTAGTGAATAATCAACCAATCAATACATTATATTTTCAAGTGCTAATGAAGCAAGGAACGTGGATGGAAACTTCATGGTCATGCTTGCACATTTCTATACTGTTTTTCAACCATTAAAGTACAACTTTCATAAAATATTTAATTTTGTACGAAATTTTGAGTTAGTAATAAATCGAATGGGTAATTCGTCATCCTTGTACGGGCTGAAGACAACTCGCAATTTTATCCCATTTCCGGAATTGTTTATATAAAAGGCTGAAACAGACATTCGTTTTTATTTTATGCGATGTTACTTTCTTTGATAATTTTGTTGTGGTAAATATCGTTAAACTGCATTTTGAACCTTGACTACATAAACATTGATTAAAAAATTAAGATGGTAGTCAAATTTAAGACAGAATATATTTAATACTAATATTGACGTATGATTTATCACATTAGAACCAGGACATCTTACTTCGATCATTTATGAATCAAAGTGAAGAAATGGAAAAATAGCAAAACACAATGGCCATTCTTTTTTATTTCCTTCCTTACAGTTAATGAGCATTACTATCAATATATTTCTTATATTGACCAAACAATAAAAAAAACACATTTAATTAACTACTGTGTTTAATAATGAAACTGAATGAGAAAATACCATGTCTTTTATCATACTTAAAACATCGATGATTTTGCCGGCATCCAAAATAATGGGCATTGGCCATTAGGATCGGCATCGAAAAACGTTTGTTCCTGTATGGAAGTATCGATGTATCGATGTTTTGTTACAATTTGCTATTATTACCTACGTCCCCTGCCCCCTGTGCGCCGCCTGTGTTGCTGAGTCAACTCCACGTATCCCGCCGCCCACTGCGCCCGGCCGGCCCGCTCGGCCGGTGGAAGCTGTCCCCAGACCACGCCCACGCGTTCGCCCAAGGTCTCCGGGGGCCGCCGGCGCAGCAGCGAATCGCTCGTTTATTCAGTGGCAGGGCGCGTGCGTGCGTGCGTGCGTTCGCGCGCGTGCGCGGCAGCATCTGCGCCGCACACGCGGCGACGACGCGACGTCGCGTCGGCGTCGCTCGCGTCCCGACCCGACCCGTCCCGTTCCGTTCCGGCGCGTCGCGTCAGCTGGCCGCGACGTGTGTCTGCGCCTGCAAAACCGGCCTGCGGGCGGCCCAGGGTCGACACGCCCACGCCCACGCCCACGCGGCGCGTTTCACTGCCGTCGCCCGCGCGCCTGCCCGGAGCCCTCCCTCCTTGCCCCTTCTCGCCCTGGCCACCCGTGCCGCCTTCCCTCTCTCCCTCCCACTTTCTCTACCTTCCTCTCTCTCTTTCTCTCTCTCTCTCTCTCTCTGTCTCTCGCTCGCCTTTTCTCCCTTTTCCTTTCCTCCTTCCTCTCTGCCTTTCGCCTTTTTGTGACTCATCCCCCCTTCTTTTCTCCCCCACCCTCCTTCCCTCTCTCCAGCCTTCTCTCCCTCCCACCCTTTCCTGTCTCTCCCATCCCTTTTCATTCTCACTCCCGTCTTTTCTCTGCCCGCCCCTCCTTTTTCTCTTCCCCCATCTGCTCCCGCTGCCCGCTGTGCTCCGCCTACGCTGACGCTCGCCCGCTTCACCTCCGTCCGCCCGCTCGCCCGCCCGCCCGCGGTGCTGGGTGTCGCTTGCCTCTGCTGTCGCCGCCTATGAGGATTTTGCGGCCGCTATCTTGCGTCATCTCGCCGCCCCCGCAACCCAGACACGGGCATCATCGCACCGCCTGCGCTTCCCGTGCTTAATGCTTCAGAAAATGCTTCAGGGCGTATTCATTGAAATAGCAAATGAATGTACATGTAACGGTTAATATCAGATTCTGACTATTTCTCAAATTATATGGTAAATCTTCATATTTTCTGAAATGGGTGGAAAAAGGTCGAAGTAGGAACAGCTTCGATGCATATTTAGGTCATAAACCACATTAAGTTATTAGCCAACATGAAGCCAGCGTGTACGTGAAGTGCGTTGTTACTGAGAATAGCAGATATTTTGTGGTAAAAACTGAACAGACTGCAGGAAGGAAGTTACAGTTTTGAAATGGCTATTACTCATTGTTTCTTAAAAGGAAACAAATACGATTATATATGTTCACACCGAGCTAAGAATTAATTTGCCATGTGGAAGTAATTACATATAATTTTTCGGAAAACAAATGTACCAAAAAATGTATTTTATTTTGTAACTAATACCATCCGCCATCTCTATTCTTCTTTTCACTTTATTTACTTCGGAGTAAAAACGAGAGCAATCTCAGGCTTTTTGCCTTACTTTAACCCCCTTGTCTTCCACTTTGATCACCTTTTCCTTTTCGTTTCCCCCATACGGTCTTTTTTAACGAAACATTTCCTTTTTCCTGATATTTATCTGCGATTTCCCACCTTTTCACTGGATCCATTTCAACCACTTCTGTCTCGGTCCGTATCTGTTCGGCAGCTTCCGCCAAGAACGTCGTCACCGCTTCTGTTGCATCAGCTGCAATTTCCGCGCGTGGTCATTGCTCGCTTCTGGCCGCGTCCTTCGCTCTGCCTTTTTCTTCGCTCGGAAGCTGCCGGCGGCAGCGCCGTGCCGGCTCGGCACGGCTCGGCTCGTCGTGGCGCGGTGCCGGTGAGTATTGTCAGCGAGCGGCCGACGATGTTGGCAACTGCTTGTTGACCGAGCGGAACGGGAAGCTCGTGACCAAGTGACGGCGGAGGCTGCGGGAGCTCCATGTCAAAGAAAGGACGACACGACACCGGCGGATCGGATTTTGACGCAAGGAACTTGAACTATGAACGTAAAAAAATAAATGTATAGATTGTATTTTTTATTTATCTTACGTCATAAACGATATAAAAATTCGTGTGATGTGCTACTGGGAGGAGTATATTCTGTGCACGTTTTCGTAATTAGGGGGTCTCTACCCTAAGCCATATACGAGGTGAATTCGGAATACAGAAAGAAACAAGCGTTTTTTGGCCAGAATTGTTAACAAAATACTCAGATGTAATAAAATCTATTTTCAAGGGCAATTCAGCTATAGATTTGACCTTTTATCCCTCATCATGGCCTTCGTGAAGGAATATAGTTCCTTCCGTGACATCTTGTAAAACGATAATTTGAATAAATATATTCCCCACTGAACTCTAGAAGCCGTACTGGGCATGGCGAAATAAATGGAAAATAGGATGTTTAGAATGAAATGGCGAAGCATATAAAACGAATGTAATTCTTATATAGGTATAAGAAACTTGTATTCGTGAAAAATTGTGAGTAATTGCGACAACGAAAATGAAGGAATATAAATAAATCTAGCGTCTGATACAATTGAAACTAATTTACAACGGTGCCAACTACTCCCAATGATAAAAGTGCAAGGAGTTGGAAAGCATTAGATGCGGCTCTGGTAGTTCGAGGTCCCGGTGGAGAAAGGCAGGGGGGGGGGACACGGCAGGACGGTGGATGCAAAGATTTAGGTGGAGGAGGTATAGATATAAAAAAGACTGATGGGAATTCTGGGAGGAGTGAATGTGGGTTGGGAGGAGTTTGCTGGGATTGTTATTTGTTGGGGACTGAAGGGGTGAAAATTTATCGGAAATTCACCTTATTTTCAACAATGAATTTGATAT